CTCATCCTACACCTCCTCCCATAGCTCATCCCACATCTTCTTCCATGTCCCCTCTTAAACCTCCTCCGATACATCACCCTTCACCTCCTTACATACCGCATCCAACACCTCCTCTCATACTTCATCCTACACCTCCTTACATACCTCATTTTACACCTCCAATACCTCATCCTTTGCCTTCTATACATCATCGTACATCTCCTCTCATATCTTATCCTTCACCTTCTCACAGACCTCATTTTATGAGGAAAGAACACACAGAGGGCGCACAGGCCGAGTGCATTACCATAAAAAATGTTTAATAAAAAATAAAGTATGTGTTGTACTCACAACCGACAATGTAGTCAAGGCACGTCATACAGAACAGCTGGGTCAGCACCGCGCTGAGTAACAGTCCGCACTGGGGAGTGTAGACATCCAATAGGCTGACGCGTTTCGAGGACTTGCCTCTTCCTCAGAGCTTAGACCTCGTTTTATACCTTCTCACATACCTCATCCCACATCTTTGTGAGGAGGTATAGAGTGAGGTATGGGGGAAGATGTACGATGAGGTATAGGAGGAGGTCTAGAACGAGGTGTGTGAGATGGTGTAGGATGAGGCATGGAGGAGGTATGGAAGCAGGTGTAGGATAAGGTATGGGAGATGTATGATGAGATATGGAAGGTGTAGGATGAGGTATGGGAGAAGATGTGTGTTGAGGTATGGGAGGAGGTATGGGAAAAGATGTAGGATGAGGTATGGGAGGAGGTGTAGGATGAGGTATGGGAGGAGGTGTAGGATGAGGTTTGTGAGGAGGTGTAGGATGAGGTATGGGAGAAGGTGTAGGATGAGGTATGGAAGGAGGTGTAGGATGAGGTATGGGAGGAGGTGTAGGATGAGGTATGGGAGGAGGTGTAGGATGAGGATTGTGAGGTGGTATAGGATGAGGTACAGTATATCAGAAGGTATAGAATGACATTTGTGGGGTGGTGTAGAATGAGGTATGGGAAGAGGTGTACAATGATACATGGGAGAAGGAGGTGTAGGATGAGGTGTGAGAGGAGGTATAGGATGAGGTATGGAGGAGGTGTAGGATGAGGTATGGAGGAGGTGTAGGATGAGGTATGGGAAAAGATGTAGGATGAGGTTTGGGAGGAGGGAGTAGGATGAGGTTTGTGAGGACGTATCTCCCATGCATCATTGTACACCTCTTCCCATACCACATCTCATCCTATACCGCCTCACAATCCTCATCCTACACCTCCCATACCTCATCCTATACCTCCTCCATCACCTCCTCCCATACCTCCTACACCTCCTCCATACCTCATCCTATATACCTCCTCTCACACCTCATCCTACGCCTCCTTCTCCCATGTATCATTGTACACCTATTCCCATACCTCATTCTACACCACCCCACAAATGTCATTCTATACCTTCTGATATACTGTACCTCATCCTACACCACCTCACAATCATCCTACACCTCCTCATACCTCATCCTACACCTCCTCCCATACCTCATCCTACACCTCCTCCCATACCTCATCCTACACCTTTTCCCATACTTTATCCTATACCTCCTCCATACCTCATCCTACACCTTCTCCATACCTCATCCTATACCACCTCACAATCCTCATCCTACACCTCCTCCCATACCTCATCCTACACCTCCTCCATACCTCATCCTACACCTCCTCCCATACCTCATCCTACACCTTTTCCCATACCTTATCCTATACCTCCTCCATACCTCATCCTACACCTTCTCCATACCTCATCCTACACCTCCTCCATACCTCATCCTATACCTCCTCCCATACCTCATCCTATACCTCCATACCCATACCCTCATACCTTCTACACCTCCTCCATACCTCATCCTACACCTCCTCCATACCTCATCCTACACCTCCTCCCATACCTCATGCTACACCTCCTCCCATACCTCATCCTATACCTCCTCTCACACCTCATTGTTATTAAAATGAATTATTCTTTAACTACCAAACAAATCAGTAATTAACATTTCTCATTTTTTAAATTTTCAGGTTTTAGGAGAACAACATCCAAGATGTCTGACCTCATGCAAGTAATTAAGACACTTATTGAAATCTACGAGAAATATTTTCCCTGTCATGGTCAGCACCTAAAACCTGCACAAATGGAGCAGTTCATACAGGAGGAGCTATCTGAGGCCATCAACGTGAGTATGAGACCAGAAGTGGGGGGTGGAATTGATGGATCCAACATGGTAGGAGACAAGCCTTGACCATTTCTCCCGTTCCTCTTACAGAACTCGGGGGATGCAGAAACCATCGGCCTTGTCTGGAAAGCAGTGGACAGGAACCGAGACGGTGAAATCAGCTTTAAGGAATACATCTCGTTGGTGTGTGTGGTCGGCAAGGCCTACTACAAGCATCTGCTCAAGGCCAACGGCTCACTGCCTTGTACTGAGCCACAGCCAGGTTCTGCCAGTCAACAACCAACCGCTGGAGGTCCACCACCACCACCACCACAGCCACCACAGCCACCACAGCCACCAACTGTCCACCTTCCAAGTCAAGTATCTCCACACCAAGCACTGCTTCCAGCAGAGGCTCGAGGTCTACAGGGTGCACCAGCTCAACCACCAGCTCCGGCACCCGGCACACCACCTGTCCAAGGATTGCCAGCTCCGGCACCCGGCACACCACCTGTCCAAGGATTGCCAGCTCCGGCACCCGGCACACCACCTGTCCAAGGCTGCCAGCTCAATCAGCAACTCAAGTTCACCAAGTGTCAACTCAGACGGCTGACAGTCCCTGTGTTTGTACATGGGAAAGCTTACAACCGGTTGCTCCTCAGCACCCAGCAACACAAGTCCCAGCCATGCCGGTGCCTGCTCATCAGGTCCCCGTTGCCTCAGTGCCAACTTCTCATCCTTCTGCACCACTTGTGCCTACTCCCCAGGGACCTACTGTAACTACACCAACTCCTCAAGTCCCTGTATCACAAGCTTTGCCTCCTCTTGTACCAGTGCCACTGGTGTCAGCTCCTCAGGTTCCTGCATTACCATCTTCTCAAGTCCCCATGGGATCATTGACAGTTCCTCAGGGGTCTGGAGCACCAGTGCCAGCACATCAAGTCCCTGTACCCCAAGTGCCAGCTTCCCAAAAGACTGCAACGCCATTGCCAGCTTCTCAGAACCCTCCTCTACCAGTGCATTTACCTGAGCAACATGCAGTACCAGTGCCAGCTTCTCAGGTCCATACAGTACCAGTGCCAGTTCTTCAAGGCTATGGTGCACCAGTGTCAGTCCCTCAGACCCCTGCAGTACCAGTGCCAGCTCAGGCCTCAGCAGCACCACAGCATGCCTCTCAGGTCCCTGTGGTGCCAGTACTGGCTCACCATGACCCTACCGCATCTCAGGTCCCTGTGGTGCCAGGACTGGCTCACCATGACCCTACAGCATCTCAGGTCCCTGTGGTGCCAGGACTGGCTCACCATGACCCTACAGCATCTCAGGTCCCTGTGGTGCCAGAACTGGCTCACCATGACCCTACAGCATCTCAGGTCCCTGTGGTCCCAGGTGCCAGTACAGGCTCACCATGACCCCTACAGCATCTCAGGTCCCTGTGGTGCCAGGACAGGCTCACCATGACCCTACAGCATCTCAGGTCCCTGTGGTTCCAGGACAGGCTCACCATGACCCTACAGCATCTCAGGTCCCTGTGGTGCCAGTACTGGCTCACCATGACCCTACAGCATCTCAGGTCCCTGTGGTGCCAGGACAGGCTCACCATGACCCTACAGCATCTCAGGTCCCTGTGGTGCCAGTACTGGCTCACCATGACCCTACAGCATCTCAGGTCCCTGTGGTGCCAGTACTGGCTCACCATGACCCTACAGCATCTCAGGTCCCTGTGGTGCCAGTACTGGCTCACCATGACCCTACAGCATCTCAGGTCCCTGTGGTGCCAGACAGGCTCACCATGACCCTACAGCATCTCAGGTCCCTGTGGTGCCAGTACTGGCTCACCATGACCCTACAGCATCTCAGGTCCCTGTGGTGCCAGTACTGGCTCACCATGACCCTACAGCAAATCAGGTCCCTGTGGTGCCAGGAAAGGCTCACCATGACCCTACAGCATATCAGGTCCCTGTGGTGCCAGGACAGGCTCACCATGACCCTACAGCAAATCAGGTCCCTGTGGTGCCAGGACAGGCTCACCATGACCCTACAGCATCTCAGGTCCCTGTGATGCCAGGACAGGCTCACCATGACCCTACAGCATATCAGGTCCCTGTGGTGCCAGGACAGGCTCACCATGACCCTACAGCATATCAGGTCCCTGTGGTGCCAGGACAGGCTCACCATGACCCTACAGCATCTCAGGTCCCTGTGGTGCCAGGACAGGCTCACCATGACCCTACAGCATCTCAGGTCCCTGTGGTGCCAGACAGGCTCACCATGACCCTACAGCATATCAGGTCCCTGTGGTGCCAGGACAGGCTCACCATGACCCTACAGCAAATCAGGTCCCTGTGGTGCCAGGACTGGCTCACCATGACCCTACAGCATCTCAGGTCCCTGTGGTGCCAGTACTGGCTCAGCATGACCCTACAGCATATCAGGTCCCTGTGGTGCCAGGACAGGCTCACCATGACCCTTCAGCATCTCAGGTCCCTGTGGTGCCAGTACTGGCTCACCATGACCCTTCAGCATCTCAGGTCCCTGTGGTGCCAGGACAGGCTCACCATGACCCTACAGCATCTCAGGTCCCTGTGGTGCCAGACAGGCTCACCATGACCCTACAGCTCACCAGGTCCCTGTGGTGCCAGTACTGGCTCACCATGACCCTTCAGCATCTCAGGTCCCTGTGGTGCCAGGACAGGCTCACCATGACCCTTCAGCATCTCAGGTCCCTGTGGTGCCAGGACAGGCTCACCATGACCCTGCAGCACCAGTGCCAGTCCTTCAGGCTACTGTAGCATCACAACCAGCTCTTAATGTTCATCAGGTCCATACAGTACCAGTGCCAGTTCATCAAGATCCTATGGTGCACCAGTGCCAGTCCCTCAGACCCCTGCAGTACCAGTGCCAGCTCAGGCCCCAGCAGCACCACAGCATGCCTCTCAGGTCCCTGTGGTGCCAGTACAAGGTCACCATGTCCCTGTAGCACCAGTGCCAGTTCCTCAGGCTGTTGCACCTTCAGGACCAGCTCCTCGGGAACCTGGGCAACAAGTTCCCATTCCACATTCCCCCACAGCACCAGTGCCAGTCCCTCAGACCCCTACAGCACCAGTGCCAGTCCCTCAGACCCATACAGCACCAGTGCCAGTCCCTCAGACCCCTACAGCACCAGTGCCAGTCCCACAGACCCATACAGCACCAGTGCCAGTCCCTCAGACCCATACAGCACCAGTGACCCCCAGTCCCTCAGACCCATACAGCACCAGTGCCAGTCCCTCAGACCCATACAGCACCAGTGCCAGTCCCTCAGACCCCTACAGCACCAGTGCCAGTCCCTCAGACCCATACAGCACCAGTGCCAGTCCCTCAGACCCATACAGCACCAGTGCCAGTCCCTCAGACCCATACAGCACCAGTGCCAGTCCCTCAGACCCATACAGCACCAGTGCCAGTCCCTCAGACCCATACAGTACCAGTCCCTCAACCCATACAGTACCAGTGCCAGTCCCTCAGAACCCCATGCAGCACCATGCAGCACCAGTGCCAGTCCCTCAGACCCCTGCAGTAACAGTGCCAGTTCAGGCCCAAGGAGCAGGATCTCCTATGCAACCAGTGTCAGTTCATCAGGACCCTATAGTACCAGTCCTTGGAGTCTCAGGAGCAGTTCCTCAGGTTTCTACAGTAATTGCACCAGCTCAGTCCCCAGCAGTGTCAGTGCTAGCTCATAAGGTCCCTGTGGAACCAGTGCAAGTTCCTAAGATCCCTATAGTACCAGTGACAGATTCTCAGGGTGCTGTTACACCAGTGCTAGTCCTTCAGATCCCTGCAGTCCCAGTGTCAGTTTCTCAGGCCACTGCAGTCCCAGTTTCTCAGGCCACTGCAGTCCCAGTGCCAGTTTCTCAGGCCACTGCAGTCCCAGTGACAGTTCCTCAGGCCACTGCAGTCCCAGTGTCAGTTGCTCAGGCCACTGCAGTCCCAGTGACAGTTTCTCAGGCCACTGCAGTCCCAGTGACAGTTCCTCAAGCCACTGCGGTCCCAGTGACAGTTCCTCAGGCCACTGCAGTCCCAGTGCCAGTTTCTCAGGCCACTGCAGTCCCACTGGCAGTTCCTCTGGTCTATGTTGCATCAGTGCTAGTTCCACAGACCCCTGCGGTCCAAGTGCCAGTTGCTCAGGCCACTGCAGTCCCAGTGCAGTTTCTCAGTCCACTGCAGTCCCAGTGACAGTTCTCAAGCCACTGTCCCAGTGACAGTTCCTCAGGCCACTGCAGTCCCAGTGCCAGTTTTCTCAGGCCACTGCAGTCCCAGTGCCAGTTTCTCAGGCCACTGCAGTCCCAGTGCCAGTTTCTCAGGCCACTGCAGTCCCAGTGCCAGTTTCTCAGGCCACTGCAGTCCCAGTGCCAGTTTCTCAGGCCACTGCAGTCCCATTGACAGTTCCTCAGGCCACTGCAGTCCAAGTGCCAGTTTCTCAGGCCACTGCAGTCCAAGTGGCAGTTCCTCTGGTCTATGTTGCATCAGTGCTAGTTCCACAGACCCCTGCGGTCCAGTGACAGTTGCTCAGCTTGCAGTGATTGCAGTTGCTCAGGCCACTGCAGTCCCAGTGTACCAGTCAGGCCACTTCAGTGACAGTTGGTCAGCCACTGCAGTCCCAGTGTCAGTTTCTCAGGTGCAGTCCCAGTGACAGTTGGTTTGCAGTCCCAGGCCAGTTCCTCAAGCCACTGCAGTCCCAGTACCAGTTTCTCAGGCCACTGCAGTCCCAGTGACAGTTGGTCAGGCCACTGAAGTCCCAGTGTCAGTTTCTCAGGCCCCTGCAGTCCCAGTACCAGTTTCTCAGGCCATTGCAGTCCCAGTGCCAGTTCCTCAGGCCCCTGCAGTCCCAGTGACAGTTGGTCAGGCCATTGCAGTCCCAGTGCCAGTTCCTCAGGCCCCTGCAGTCCCAGTGCAGTTCCTCAGGCCATTGCAGTCCCAGTGCCAGTTCCTCAGGCCACTGCAGTCCCAGCACTTGTTCTCCAGGTCAATGTTACAGTAGTGTTTGTTATTCAGAGTCCTGCAATGGCAGTTCAGGTCCCAGCAGCAGATTCTCAGGTCCCTGTAGTTCACCAGGACCCTGCAGCACCACTGCAAGCTCACCAAGTCCCTTCATCACAGATACCAGCACCGGAGGTCCATGTGGCACCAGTACCAGTTTCTGAGAGCCCCGCAGCACCTGTGGCAGTGCCTGTTCATCAGGTCCCTGCAGGACCAGTGCCAGCTCCTCCAGTTACTGGACCACAAGTGGCAGCTCCATATGGCTCTCTAGTAATGGTACCACCTCAGGGACCAGCTCAGCCAGCTCATCAGGTCCTTGGAGCACCAGTGCCAGTTCAAAAGGTCCCTGGAGCACCACAGCTAGCTACTCAGGTCCCTGGAACAACAGTGTCAGCCTATCAGGTCCCTGGAGCACCAGTGCCAGTTAATCAGGTCCCTGAAGCACCAGTGCCAGGCTCTCAGACCCCAGCAGCACAGCACGCTCCCCAGGTCCCTGTGGTTCCAGTACAAGCTCCCCATGACCCAACAGTGCCAGTTAGACTGGTCCGCGTACCACAAATATCGGCTCATCAAGTAACTGCAGTACCAGTGCCGGTCCCTCAGATCCAGGGTACACCAGTGCTGGTCCCTCAGATCCAGGGTACACCAGTGCTGGTCCCTCAGATCCAGGGTACACCAGTGCTGGTCCCGCAGATCCAGGGTACACCAGTGCCGGTCCCTCAGATCCAAGGTACACCAGTGCCAGTCCCTCAGATCCAGGGTACACCAGTGCCAGTCCCTCAGATCCAAGGTACACCAGTGCCGGTCCCTCAGACCCAAGGAACACCAGTGCCAGTCCCTCAGACCCAAAGAACACCAGTGCCGGTCCCCCAGACCCAAGGAACACCAGTGCCAGTCCCTCAGACCCAAGGAACACAAGTGCCAGTCCCTCAGATCCAGGGTACACCAGTGCCAGTCCCTCAGATCCAGGGTACACCAGTGCCAGTCCCTCAGATCCAAGGTACACCAGTGCCAGTCCCTCAGATCCAGGGTACACCAGTGCCAGTCCCTCAGATCCAAGGTACACCAGTGACCAGTGCCAGTCCCTCAGATCCAAGGAACAGTCCCCAGTGCCAGTCCCTCAGATCCAGGTACACCAGTGCCAGTCCCTCAGATCCAAGGTACACCAGTGCCAGTCCCCTCCAGACCTGCCAGTCCCTCAGATCCAAGGTACACCAGTGCCAGTTTCTCAGACCCAAGGAACACCAGTGCCAGTCCCTCAGACCCAAGGAACACCAGTGCCAGTCCCTCAGACCCACCAGGAGTCCCTCACACCAGTACACCAGTGCCAGTCCCTCAGACCCAAGGAACAGCAGTGCCAGTCCCTCAGACCCAAGGAAAACCAGTGCCAGTCCCTCAGACCCAAGGTACACCAGTGCCAGTCCCCTCAGATCTTAGGTAACCAGTGCCAGTCCCTCAGATCCAAGGTACACCAGTCAGCCAAGGAACACCAGTGCCAGTCCCTCAGATCAAGGTACACCAGTGCCAGTCCCTCAGATCAAGGGTACACCAGTGCCAGTCCCTCAGATCCAAGGTACACCAGTGCCAGTCCCTCAGATCCAAGGTACACCAGTGCCAGTCCCTCAGATCCAAGGTACACCAGTGCCAGCCCCTCAGATCCAGGGAACACCAGTGCCAGTCCCTCAGATCCAGGGTACACCAGTTCCAGTCCCTCAGATCCAAGGCACACCAGTGCCAGTCCCTCAGATCCAAGGCACACCAGTGCCAGTCCCTCAGATCAAAGGCACACCAGTGCCAGTCCTCACCCTCAGATCCAAGGTACACCAGTGCCAGTCCCACAAACCCAAGGTAAACCAGTGCCAGTCCCTCAGACCCAAGGTACACCAGTGCCAGTCCCTCAGACCCAGGGTACACCAGTGCCAGTCCCTCAGACCCAAGGAACACCAGTGCCAGTCCCTCAGACCCAAGGTACACCAGTGCCAGTCCCTCAGACCCAAGGTACACCAGTGCCAGTCCCTCAGACCCAAGGTACACCAGTGCCAGTCCCTCAGACCCAGGGTACACCAGTGCCAGTCCCTCAGACCCAAGGAACACCAGTGCCAGTCCCTCAGATCCAAGGTACACCAGTGCCAGTCCCTCAGATCCAAGGTACACCAGTGCCAGTCCCTCAGATCCAGGGTACACCAGTGCCAGTCCCTCAGATCCAGGGTACACCAGTGCCAGTCCCTCAGATCCAGGGAACACCAGTGCCAGTCCCTCAGATCCAAGGTACACCAGTGCCAGTCCCTCAGATCCAGCAAAACAGTGCCATCTGAGTCAGATCAACCAGTGCCAGTGCCAGTCCCTCAGAGGGTACACCAGGGTCCCTCACCAGTTCCAGTCCCTCAGATCCAAGGCACACCAGTGCCAGTCCCTCAGATCAAAGGCAGTGCCACCAGTGCCAGTCCCTCAGATCCAAGGGTACACCAGTGCCAGTCCCTCAGACCCAAGGAAAACCAGTGCCAGTCCCTCAGACCCAAGGTACACCAGTGCCAGTCCCTCAGACCCAGGACACCAGTGGGTACAGACCAGTGCCAGTGCCAGTCCCTCAGACCCAAGGTACACCAGTGACAGTCCCTCAGACCCAAGGAACCCCAGTGCCAGTCCCTCAGATCCAAGGAACACCAGTGCCAGTCCCTCAGATCCAGGGATACACCAGTGCCAGTCCCTCAGACCCAAGGAACACCAGTGCCAGTCCCTCAGACCCAAGGTACACCAGTGCCAGTCCCTAAGACCCAAGGAACACAAGTGCCAGTCCCTCAGACCCAAGGAACACCAGTGCCAGTCCCTCAGACCCAAGGAACACCAGTGCCAGTCCCTCAGATCCAGGATACACCAGTGCCAGTCCCTCAGACCCAAGGAACACCAGTGCCAGTCCCTCAGACCCAAGGTACACCCAGTACCCAAGACCCCAGGAACCCCAGTGCCAGTCCCTCAGACCCAAGGAACACCAGTGCCAGTCCCTCAGTCCAGGCCAGCCAGTCCCTCAGACCCAAGGAACACCAGTGCCAGTCCCTCAGACCCAAGGTACACCAGTGCCAGTCCCTCAGATCCAGGGTACACCAGTGCCAGTCCCTCAGACCCAAGGAACCAGTGGTCCCTACCCACACCAGTGCCAGTCCCTCAGATCCAGGGTACACCAGTGCCAGTCCCTCACACCAGTGCCAGTCCCTCAGTGCACCAGTGGTCCCTCAGACGAAAGGTACACCAGTGCCGGTCCCTCAGATCCTTAGTACACCAATGCCGGTCCCTCAGACCCAAGGTACACCAGTGCCAGTCCCTCAGACACCAGCCAGGATCCTTAGTACACCAGTGCCAGTCCTCACACCATCCTTAGTACACCAGTGCCAGTCCCTCAGACCAGGTACACCAGTGCCTGTCCCTCAGACCCAAGGTACACCAGTGCCAGTCCCTCAGACCCAAGGTACACCAGTGCCAGTCCCTCAGACCCAAGGAACACCAGTGCCGGTCCCTCAGACCCAAGGTACACCAGTGCCAGTCCCTCAGACCCAAGGTACACCAGTGCCGGTCCCTCAGACCCAAGGTACACCAGTGCCAGTCCCTCAGACCCAAGGTACACCAGTGCCAGTCCCTCAGACTCAGACCCAGTGGTACACCAGTGCCAGTCCCTCAGATCCTTAGTACACCAGTGCCAGTCCCTCAGATCCATGGTACACCAGTGCCAGTCCCTCAGACCCAAGGTACACCAGTGCCAGTCCCTCAGACCAAAGGTACACCAGTGCCAGTCCCTCAGATCCATGGTACACCAGTGCCAGTCCCTCAGACCCAAGGTACACCAGTGCCAGTCCCTCAGACCAAAGGTACACCAGTGCCAGTCCCTCAGACCCATGGAACACCAGTGCCAGTCCTCAGACCCAAGGTACACCAGTGCCAGTCCCTCAGACCCAGGGTACACCAGTGCCAGTCCCTCAGACCCAAGGTACACAAGTGCCAGTCCCTCAGACCCAAGGTAACACCAGGACAGTCCCTCAGACCCAAGGAACCCCAGTGCCAGTCCCTCAGATCCAAGGAACACCAGTGCCAGTCCCTCAGACCCAAGTTACACCAGTGCCGGTCCTTCAGACCAAAGGTACACCAGTGCCGGTCCCTCAGATCCTTAGTACACCAGTGCCAGACCCTCAGATCCAAGGTACACCAGTGCCAGTCCCTCAGACCCAAGTTACACCAGTGCCGGTCCTTCAGACCAAAGGTACACCAGTGCCGGTCCCTCAGATCCTTAGTACACCAGTGCCAGTCCCTCAGATCCAGGGAACACCAGTGCCAGTCCCTCAGACCCAAGGTACACCAGTGCCAGTCCCTCAGACCAAAGGTACACAAGTGCCGGTCCCTCAGACCCAAGTTACACCAGTGCCTGGTCCTCAGACCCAAGGTACACCAGAGCCAGTCCCTCAGACCCAAGGAACACCAGTGCCAGTCCCTCAGACCCAAGGAACACCAGTGCCAGTCCCTCAGATCCATAGTACACCAGTGCCAGTCCCTCAGACCCAGGGTACACCAGTGCCGGTCCCTCAGACCAAAGGTACACCAGTGCCAGTCCCTCAGATCCAGGGTACACCAGTGCCAGTCCCTCAGATCCAAGTTATACCAGTGCCGGTCCCTCAGAACCTTAGTACACCAGTGCCAGTCCCTCAGACCCATGGAACACCAGAGCCAGTCCCTCAGATCCTTAGTACACCAGTGCCAGTCCCTCAGACCCAAGTTACACCAGTACCAGTCCCTCAGACCCAGGGTACACCAGTGCCAGTCCCTCAGATCCTTAGTGCACCAGTGCCAGTCCCTCAGACCCAGGGTACACCAGTGCCAGTCCCTCAGTCCCATGGTACACCAGTGCCAGTCCCTCAGACCCATGGTACACCAGTGCCAGTCCCTCAGATCCTTGGTAAACCAGTGCCAGTCCCTCAGATCCTTAGTACACCAGTGCCAGTCCCTCAGACCCAAGGTACACCAGAGCCAGTCCCTCAGATCCAAGGTACACCAGTGCCGGTCCCTCAGACCAAAGGTACACCAGTGCCAGTCCCTCAGACCCATGGTACATCAGTGCCAGTCCCTCAGATCCTTAGTACACCAGTGCCAGTCCCTCAGACCCAGGGTACACCAGTGCCAGTCCCTCAGATCCTTAGTACACCAGTGCCAGTCCCTCAGACCCAGGGTACACCAGTGCCAGTCCCTCAGATCTTTAGTACACCAGTGCCAGTCCCTCAGACCCAAGGTACACCAGTGCCGGTCCCTCAGACCAAAGGTACACCAGTGCCAGTCCCTCAGATCCTTAGTACACCAGTGCCAGTCCCTCAGACCCAAGGTACACCAGTGCCAGTCCCTCAGATCCTTAGGCACACCAGTGCCAGTCCCTCAGATCCTTAGGTACACCAGTGCCAGTCCCTCAGATCCTTAGTACACCAGTGCCAGTCCCTCAGATCCTTAGCACACCAGTGCCAGTCCCTCAGACCCAAGGTACACCAGTGCCAGTCCCTCAGATCCTTAGTACACCAGTGCCAGTCCCTCAGATCCTTAGTACACCAGTGCCTGTCCCTCAGATCCTTAGCACACCAGTGCCAGTCCCTCAGACCCAAGTTACACCAGTGCCAGTCCCTCAGATCCTTAGTACACCAGTGCCAGTCCCTCAGACCCAAGTACACCAGTGCCAGTCCCTCAGACCCAAGGTACACCAGTGCCAGTCCCTCAGACCCAAGGTACCCAGTGCCAGTCCCTCAGACCCATGGTACACCAGTGCCAGTCCCTCAGACCCAAGGTACACCAGTGCCAGTCCCTCTGACCCAAGGTACACCAGTGCCAGTCCCTCAAACCCAAGGTACACCAGTGCCAGTCCCTCTGACCCAAGGTACACCAGTGCCAGTCCCTCAAACCCAAGTTACACCAGTGCCGGTCCCTCAGACCCAAGGTACACCAGTGCCAGTCCCTCAGACCCAAGTTACACCAGTGCCAGTCCCTCAGATCCTTAGTACACCAGTGGCCAGTCCCTCAGATCCAAAGGTACACCAGTGCCAGTCCCTCAGATCCAAGGTACACCAGTGCCAGTCCCTCAGATCCTAGTACACCAGTGCCAGTCCCTCAGATCCAAGGTACACCAGTGCCAGTCCCTCAGATCCTTGGTACACCAGTGCCAGTCCCTCAGACCCAAGGTACACCAAAGCCAGTCCCTCAGACCCAAGGTACACCAGTGCCAGTCCCTCAGACCCAAGGTACACCAGTGCCAGTCCCTCAGATCCAAGTTACACCAGTGCCAGTCCCTCAGACCCAAGGTACACCAGTGCCAGTCCCTCAGACCCAAGGTACACCAGTGCCAGTCCCTCAGACCCAAGGTACACCAGTGCCAGTCCCTCAGACCCAAGGTACACCAGTGCCAGTCCCTCAGACCCAAGGTACACCAGTGCCAGTCCCCTCAGACCCTTAGTACACCAGTGCCAGTCCCTCAGATCCTTAGCACACCAGTGCCAGTCCCTCAGACCCAAGTTATACCAGTGCCAGTCCCTCAGACCCAAGGTACACCAGTGCCAGTCCCTCAGATCCTTAGTACACCAGTGCCAGTCCCTCAGACCCAAGGTACACCAGTGCCAGTCCCTCAGATCCTTAGTACACCAGTGCCAGTCCCTCAGACCCAAGGTACACCAGTGCCAGTCCCTCAGATCCTTAGTACACCAGTGCCAGTCCCTCAGACCCAAGGTACACCAGTGCCAGTCCCTCAGATCCTTAGTACACCAGTGCCAGTCCCTCAGACCCAAGGTACACCAGTGCCAGTCCCTCAGATCCTTAGTACACCAGTGCCAGTCCCTCAGACCCAAGTTACACCAGTATACCAGTGCCAGTCCCTCAGACCCAAGGTACACCAGTGCCAGTCCTCAGATCCTTAGTACACCAGTGCCAGTCCCTCAGACCCAAGGAACACCAGTGCCAGTCCCTCAGACCCAAGATACACCAGTGCCAGTCCCTCAGACCCAAGATACACCAGTGCCGGTCCCTCAGACCCAAGTTACACCAGTGCCGGTCCCTCAGACCAAAGGTACACCAGTGCCAGTCCCTCAGATCCTTAGTACACCAGTGCCGGTCCTTCAGACCCATGGTACACCAGTGCCAGTCCCTCAGACCCAAGGTACACCAGTGCCAGTCCCTCAGACCCCTGCAGGATCAGTGCCAGCTCAGGCCCCTCCAGCACCACAGCAACCATCTCAGGTCTCTGTGGTGCCAATACAAAGTCACCATGACCCCACAGCACCAGTCCCAGTTCTTCAGGCTCCTGCAACGTCAGGACCAGCTCCTCAGGAACCTGGGCAACAAGTTCCCGTTCCACATTCCCCCACAGAACTAGTGCCAGTTCACTGGGGATATTGCAGTCTAGTGCCAGTCCCTCAGACCCCTACAGTGCCAGCTCAGGTCCCAGCAACACCACAGCAACCATCTCAGGTCTCTCTGGTGCCAGTACAAGCTCACCATGACCCTACAGTCCCTCAGGCCATTGGAACTTCAGGACCAGCCCCTCAGACCCCGGTGCAACAGGTCCCCGATCCACATTCCCCCACAACACCAGTGCCAGTTCTCCAGTGCTATTGTGTCCCAGTGCCAGTCCCTCAGACCCATACAGCACCAGTGCCAGTCCCTCAGACCCATACAGCACCAGTCCCTCAGACCCATACAGCACCAGTCCCTCAGACCCATACAGCACCAGTGCCAGTCCCTCAGACCCCTGCAGGATCAGTGCCAGACCAGGCCCCAGCAACAGCACCACAGCAACCATCTCAGGTCAATGTAGTCCCAGTTCCTAAGCCTGTTGCTACTTCAGGACCAGCTCCTCAGGCCCCTGTACAACAGGTTCCCGTTCCACATACCCCCACAGCACCAGTGCTAGTCCCTCAGACCCATACAGCACCAGTGCCAGTCCCTCAGACCCATACAGCACCAGTGCCAGTCCCTCAGACCCATACAGCACCAGTGCCAGTCCCTCAGACCCATACAGCACCAGTGCCAGTCCCTCAGACCAGTACAGCACCAGTGCCAGTCCCTCAGACCCATACAGCACCAGTGCCAGTCCCTCAGACCCATACAGCACCAGTGCCAGCCCTCAGACCCATACAGCACCAGTGCTAGTCCTGTTCCATATCCCCATACAGCACCAGTGCCAGTCCCTCAGACCCATACAGCACCAGTGCCAGTCCCTCAGACCCATACAGCACCAGTGCCAGTTCAAGCCTCCCAGCACCCATACAGCAACCAGTGCTAGTCCCTCAGACCCCTACAGCACCAGTACCAGTCCCTCGGACCCATACAGCACCAGTGCTAGTCCCTCAGACCCATACAGCACCAGTGCCAGTCCCTCAGACCCATGTGGGATCACTGCCACCAGTGCCCCTAGTGCCAGTACAAGTTCACCATGACTCTACAGCACCAGTCCCAGTTCCTAAGCCTGTCTACCTCAGGTCCCACCTCAGCCCAGTACAACAGTTCCTGTTCCATATCCCCCCACAGCACCAGTACCAGTCCCTCAGACCCATACAGCACCAGTGCCAGTTCAAGCCTCACCAGCACCACCCATCACATGTAGTGCCAGTCCCTCAGACCCCTATAGCACCAGTACCAGTCCCTCAGACCCATACAGCACCAGTGCCAGTCCCTCAGACCCATACAGCACCAGTGCCAGTCCCTCAGACCCATACAGCACCAGTGCCAGTCCCTCAGTACAGCACCAGTGCCAGTCCCTCAGACCATACAGTGCCAGTCCCCCAGACCCATACAGCACCAGTACCAGTCCCTCAGACCCATGCGGGATCACTGCCAGCTCAGACTCCAGCAGCACCACAGCAACCATCTCAGGTCCCTGTGGTGCCAGGTCAAGCTCACCATGACTCTACAGCACCAGTCCCAGTTCCTAAGCCTGTTGCTACTTCAGGTCCAGCACCTCAGGCCCCTGTACAACAGGTTCCTGTTCCATATCCCCCCACAGCACCAGTACCAGTCCCTCAGACCCATACAGCACCAGTACCAGTGACCCATACAGCACCAGTGCCAGTCCCTCAGATCCATACAGCACCAGTGCCAGTTCAAGCCTCACCAGCACCAAAGCAACCATCTCAGGTCAATGTAGTGCCAGTCCCTCAGACCCCTACAGCACCAGTGCCAGTCCCTCAGATCCATACAGCACCAGTGCCAGTCCCTCAGATGCATACAGCACCAGTGCCAGTCCCTCAAACCCATGCAGGATCACTGCCAGCTCAGACTCCAGCAGCACCACAGCAACCATCTCAGGTCCCTGTGGTGCCAGGTCAAGCTCACCATGACCCTACCGCACCAGTCCCAGTTCCTCAGCATGTTGCTACTTCAGGACCAGCTCCTCAGGAACCTGGGCAACAAGTTCCCGTTCCACATCCCCCCACAGCACCAGTGCCATTTCAGGGCTATGGTGCATCAGTACCAGTCTATCAGACCCATGCGGGTTCAGTGCCAGCTCAGGTCCCAGCAGCACCACAGCAAGCTTCTCAGGTCTCTCCGGTGGCAGTACAAGGTCACCATGTCCCTACCACACACCAGTCCCAGTTCCTCAGCCTGTTGCACCTTCAGGCCCTCAGGAACCTGTGCAACCAGTGCCCTTTCCACTTTTCCCCAAAGAACCAGTCCCAGTCCCTCAGACCCATGCACTACCAGAGCCAGTTCATGCCCCAGCCGCACCACAGGTCTCTCCGGTGGCAGTACAAGGTCACCATGTCCCTACAGCACCAGTGCCAGTTCCTCAGCCTGTTGCATCTTCAGGACCAGCTCTTAATGCCCATGTGCCAAATTTACCAATTCATCAGGTCCATACAGAACCAGTGCCAGCGCACCAGGACCATGGTACATCGGTGCCAGTCCCTCAGACCCATACAGGATCAGTGCCAGCTCAGGCCCCAGCAGCAGCCCAACAGCAGGCCTCTCAGGTCCCTGTGGTGCCAGTACAAGCTGACCATAACCCTACAGCACCGGTGCCAGTCCCTCAGGCCATTGGAACTTCAGGACCAGCCCCTCAGACCCCTGAGCAACAAGTTCCGTTCCCCATTCCCCCACAACACCAGTGCCAGTGCTATTGTGTCCCAGTGCCAGTCCCTCAGACCCATACAGCACCAGTGCCAGTGACCCCTATCAGTGTCCCTGTACAGCACCAGTGCCAGTCCCTGAGACCCCTTGATCAGTGCCATCAGTGACCCCAGCACCAGTGCCAGTCCCCAGCAGCACCAGTGCCAGTCCCTCACCCCTGCAGCAGTGCCAGCTCAGGTCTCACCACAGCAAGCTTCTCAGGTCTCTCCGGTGGCAGTACAAGGTCACCATGTCCCTACCGCACCAGTCCCAGTTCCTCAGCCTGTTGCATCTTCAGGACCAGAACCTCAGGAACCTGGGCAGCAAGTTCCAGTTCTACATTCCCCCACAGCACCAGTGCCAGTTCATCAGGTCCCTGAAGTACCATTGCTAGCCACTCAGGTCCCTGGAGCACCAGTGTCAGTTCATCGGGTCCATGGAGCATTAGTGCCAGTTATCCAGGTCCCTGGAGCACCAGTGCCAGTTCATCAGGTCCCTGGAGCACCAGTGCCAGTTCATCAGGTCCCTGGAGCACCAGTGTCAGTTCATCAGGTCCCTGGAGCACCAGTGCCAGTTCATCAGGTCCCTGGAGGACCAGTGCCAGTTCATCAGGTCCCTGGAGCACCAGTGCCAGTTAATCAGGTCCCTGGAGCACCAGTGCCAGTTAATCAGGTCCCTGGAGCACCAGTGCCAGTTAATCAGGTCCCTGGAGCACCAGTGCCAGTTAATCAGGTCCCTGGAGCACCAGTGCCAGCTCATCAAGTCCCTGGAGCATTAGTGCCAGTTCATCAGGTCCCTGGAGCACCAGTGTCAGTTCATCAGGTCCCTGGAGCACCAGTGCCAGTTCATCAGGTCCCTGGAGCACCAGTGCCAGTTAATCAGGTCTCTGGAGCACCAGTGCCAGTTAATCAGGTCCCTGGAGCACCAGTGCCAGTTAATCAGGTCCCTGGAGCACCAGTGCCAGTTAATCAGTCCCTGTGCACCAGTGCCAGTTAATCAGGTCCCTGGAGCACCAGTGCCAGCTCATCAGGTCCCTGTAGCACCAGTGCCAGTTAATCAGGTCCCTGGAGCACCAGTGCCAGCTCATCAGGTCCTTGGAGCACCAGTGCCAGTTCATCAGGTCCCTGGAGCACCACAGCTAGCTACTCAGGTCCCTGGAACAACAGTGTCAGCCTATCAGGTCCCTGGAGCACCAGTGCCAGCCCATCAGGTCCCTGGAGCACCAGTGCCAGTTCATCAGGTCCCTGGAGCACCAATGCAAGTTCATCAGGTCCCTGGAGCATCAGTGCCAGCCCATCAGGTCCCTGGAGCACCAGTGCCAGCTCATCAGGTCCCTGGAGCACCAGTGCCAGTTCATCAGGTCCCTGGAGCACCAGTGCCAGCCCATCAGGTCCCTGGAGCACCAGTGCCAGTTCATCAGGTCCCTGGAGCACCAGTGCCAGTTCATCAGGTCCCTGGAGCACCAATGCAAGTTCATCAGGTCCCTGGAGCACCAGTGCCAGCCCATCAGGTCCCTGGAGCACCAGTGCCAGTTCATCAGGTCCCTGGAGCACCAGTGCCAGTTCATCAGGTCCCTGGAGCACCAGTGCCAGCTAATCAGGTCCCTGGAGCACCAGTGCCAGTTCATCAGGTCCCTGGAGCACCAGTGCCAGTTCATCAGGTCCCTGGAGCACCAGTGCCAGTTAATCAGGTCCCTGGAGCACCAGTGCCAGTTCATCAGGTCCCTGGAGCACCAGTGCCAGTTCATCAGGTCCCTGGAGCACCAGTGCCAGTTCATCAGGTCCCTGGAGCACCAGTGCCAGCTTACTCAGGTCCCTGGAGCACCAGTGCCAGTTAATCAGGTCCCTGGAGCACCAGTGCCAGTTTATCAGGTCCCTGGAGCACCAGTGCCAGTTCATCAGGTCCCTGGAGCACCAGTGCCAGTTCATCAGGTCCCTGGAGCACCACAGCTAGCTACCAGTTTATCAGGTCCCTGTAGCTCCAGAGCCAGTTTATCAGGTCCCAAGCCAAGAGTTCTATACTCAAGCCATATGCCAGGTGGTCCCTGAGGAGCAGTTCTTCCCGGTCCCGTATTGTGTATGTGATGACGGTGTCGGGTCGGTGATTTGGGTCGAAGAATACTATTACTAGAAGAGGAATTGCTGTGAGGAGTCGAAGGAAAGAAGATGTATGTGAACCGTGTCTCCGTGGTCTGCCCCGAGCTGGAACGTGTTCAGAGAACACGCCTGTCTGTTGTATGTTTGGTCTATGTAGTATGTGTAGATTGTAGAATAAAGTATCGTACTCAGCATCACATCATGGTGTGCGTCCTCTGTATGACGGGGAATCTGCTTCACGTGTGTCATCTGTATGAC